CATGAGAAAACGTGTTCATAACGAACGAAAGTAAATAAATAATTAAATTGTGGCCATGCCGGTCTCAAACCCTGGTCTCCCACTCTCTGGTCCAACACTCTACCCATTGCCATATTGGAGGCTTGTTGTGAACTGACCTGCGCATTACATAACAACACGGTGACGGCTTTTTATACTGAGGAGGTGGAGTCTCACCCGGGGGTTGCTAGGTAAGGGGCTGAACGCAGGTTCCGGTGGGTTGTTGTACAGCTTGTGACATCACAAAATGACGGAAGTATAAAACTTGTTGTTAATATACATTAAAAATACATTTACTTACAGTAAATACACCCCTGGGTGCATTTTTTTTGGTCCTAGGWCTGTTTTTTTAAGAAGTACATACCCAAAGTTGAGTAAAAAAATCTTTAAAAAGTGAATGTTGCATAATAGATCCCCTTTAAGTCCAGTCCCTGTGGTACCAGGTATTCATGCAATCAACAAAACGTCAGATTTAGAACAAAAGAGAAGACTCCTTTACCTTGGAGACAGCAGTCATCAGCCACATAGCCTGCTGGGGGTAGGCCAGGAGCACCTTGGCCACAATCGTCATGAGAACAGTGAAGACCTCGTCGCTCGAGTGGCACACCCTGGAGATGAGCTGCGAGAAGGCGGTGAGGAACTGGTACGGCGCTAAGTTGTTGCAGTGTTCACTGACCACCACGTTAATTTTACTGAGCTCCTGTCGCAGCTGTCGGTCAGTTCGCCCAGCTGTGGAGGAGAGATTCATCAGAAACTATTCGAATCAGGCAGTGGAGTGAGTTCAAACTGAAGCGTGCCGAGTTACTCACCTTTCTCACGTTCGCACACTTTAGCTCCGAAATCCAACCAGAGAGAGAGCATGCGTGGCATGGCCTGGTAGATGTACTGGTTTCCAAACTGCAGGGCTCTGATGTGATGCACATTTAGAAGTGTGATGAAGCAAAAATAAATCAAAATTCATTTCCGAAATAGTTTCTTTTTAAACTTTCAGTATATAGGAACTTGAAGTAAACAAAATAAAAACAATAACCTACTTTCCAAAAAAGGTGACGATGTATAAGATGAGGTTTCCCTGTTTCTCCAGCTTGTTATCAGTCACCATTGGCATCACTTTGTCGTAGTATTTAGCCAAGTAGAAGTTTCCATCCTCCCACTCCGGTAACAGGTTGGTCACGTCCTAAATTAAAATAACACACTTCAAAGTTATACATCTAAACATGTAGCTAAACATGTTTGTATAGGTCTATAAATGTTGTTATAGGTATATAATCATAACTCTAAACCTAATGTAAACACATTTGAATCATACATTATTATACACTGCCTAGAAAAAAAAACAGTCACCACCTGGATTTAACTAAGGTCTATGATGTGGGGTTGCTGCAGAGGTTCAGCAAMAGTTTGTGCTCAAAGAATGAGGTCAGCTGACTACTTGAATATACTGAATGACCAGGTTATTATCTTCCCTGATGGCACGGGCATATTCCAAGATCAGGCTCTTATTGTGAAAGAGTGGTTCAGGGAGCATGAGACATTTTCACACATGGATTGGCTCCAGAGTCTATTGAGAATCTTTGGGCTGTGCTGGAGAAGGCTTTGTGCAGCGGTCAGACTCTASCATCATCAATACAAGATCTTGGCGAAACATTAATGCAACACTGGATGAAATAAATCTTGTGACGTTGCAGAAGCTTATTGAAACAACGCCACAGTGAATGCATGCCAACAAACAAAATATTAGTGTGTGTGAGCTTTTTTTTGGTGGCTACGTCACACAGTGGAGTCTCTGATTGGTTGACGCGGCGTGTCGAGCTGCAAAAGTTCAGATTTTCCAACTTCAGCGTTCGACGCTCTCGCTGCACCACAACACTTCACGACGCGCATCCATCACAGACTTTGCATGTAAACCTGATGCTCAAAACGCGTTTGGTGTGAACGCACCCTAAGGCTAACCTCACAGGTACCTACCTGAACCTAAAACTAACCTAAACTCAATTCACACCTTGGTGCTAAACCAAACCCCCAACCCACCAATGGTATTTAAACCAAATGGGGACTCGACTTTTGTCCCCAAATGCACCAGTTGTCCCCAAATGTAGGTGTTTTGTCTTAAAATTGCCCCCAAATGTCACCAACTCCCCCCCCTCCCACACACACACACACACACAAAAACTTTATAGCCTGCCATTTGTCAGTGGGTGAGAACACGTCCTCTAAAAACAAGCAATAACAGAAAGACTTTTTCCAGGTAAAGCCCAACAAGCAGAATGGAACAAAATGTTTCAAAGTCACAATAAATCTTCTACAGATGTTTTCCTGATGTAAGATTTATAAATGTGTTGGTAACAAACCTTTTAGATGTCTGAATGAAAGGTAAGAATGAAGTCCAGATAAAGACCATTACCTTGTATGCCTTCATGATGGCATTGGACTCAAAGTTGGCAGTCTCCTCCATGAAGCGTCCAACCAGCAGCATGGCCTTGCCTTTAGTCTGGAGGCTGCGAGGGTCTGTGGGGGGCTGGTCCTCAGGGAAACACTGGGCCACGCCCTTCTGCAGGACGATCAGAGCCTGGTGTGCATCACCCTGAACACAGCAGAAAACAACACTTCTGTAACAGAACAAGTTAAATGGATATATAACGTTTTCTGATTTTAACTGCAACGAGAACGCCGAGTGCTGAACTTTACTGAAATTTGGTAAAGAAGCTGAAATTTATCTGCTAAAAAACACTAGCTTGAAGTTAAGACAAGCAATACATAACTTAAAAGCTACAAAAAGCAAAACAAAGCAGCAAAACACTATCTAAAAGTTGCAGAAATCCAACTACAAGCTAAAAGAAGCAAAAAGCTAGCTAAAAAGTAGCTGGCTAAAAAAAGTGAAACAATAGCTAAAAGCCAGAAAGAACAAAATGTAAGCTAAAAATCAAAAGTGGTAAAATGTTGGCAAAAGTGGCAAAAAACTAGCAAAAATTAGCAAAGAGCTGGCTAAAAGCTAAAAACAGAAAAAGGCTATTTAAATCTAAAAGGGGCAAAAAGCTAGCTAAAGTTAGCAAAGTGCTGGCAAACAGCTAAAATCTTCAAAAGGCAAAATAACCAAACCAGTAAATAAAAGCGAAAAGTATCAGAAGGCTAGTTAGAAGGAGCAGAAAGGTAGCCAAAAGCTCAAAGTAGCAAAAAACTAAAAAGTAAAAAAAATCACGTGAGAAGACAGAAATGGAGTCAAAGAAACTGACATGGAGGTAGTTGGAGTGAGGACAGAGGACACAGAAGACAGTGAGATGGAGAGGAAAGACTCATGGCAACAACAGAGGGAAAACAGCTGAATGAAGAGCATGGTTTTGAAAAATAAAAAAGTATGTACTTGAAGAACTGAATATTTTGAAATACAAACTATTAAAATAGAACTACATTTGCAGAAATAGAAAGCAAAAACATAGTGTAAACGAAATCAAGTAAACAACAGTTTGAACAGGATGATGATGTTTTCTGTCTCCTGGACGTCTCTACCTTAGACCAGAGCCACTTAGCCTTCTCTGTGACCAGCTCAGCCAGGTTTGTCTTATCTGCGTTCAGAAGAGCGTTGAAGGCTGTCTGGTGATGTCCTGCTTTTCTGGCCACTCGGGCACTTTGCAGCCAACACTCTCCGACAAGCTCCTCACACTCCGCCCTGCAGAAGAACAGCCAGACCATCACAGCTCTGACAGGAAATTCATCTGTCAAGTCATCTTCTAGAAAAATTATCACGGTATTAAGTACRAGTTGAGATGAAACTGATCCAGTTCTCTCATTTAGTAACATTTATCCTATTCACATCACGCTACCAGTCTTCTTAAAGGGATCCCTGATTAGTTGTAACATTAGACTTTATTTGATAAACAATTATTTTAACTGTAAAATAAAGACTGTAAAAATACTGTAGGCTGTTTAGTTAAGTAAATTTTTAAAAAGATATTTCAACACAGACGGAGCTGTTTTATTTACACGCAAAGCATTCTGGGTAAATGATGACGTTGATAGGTCATCTGTGCTAGCGAGCTATATCCAGCCTGAAGGTTAATCTTGGACAATATCTGATGATCGACTCTTTTAAATGAAACCAGAGAGCGTTGACAGAGAGGAGAAGGTAGAAATGACTCAGCCTGGAACTAGGGCTGTGTATTGGCAAGAATTTGGCGATACGATACATATCATGACAGAGGGGTCACGATACGATAT